AACACAAGAGGAGGAAAGGTCTTTGTTCCTTCTCATGAGCAGCGCCAGCTCATCCATCTTGTTGCTGAGAGCTCGGACATTAGAAAGAAATACGCCAGGTAAAGGCGTGCGTGTCCCCCGTCTGCGAAGGCGCACAAGAGGAAGAAAAGGTATTATTTTACTCTGCAGAGGAGAATGGCACAAACCAGCTGAATACAGCTGAGTGCGATTCTGAGGCGTTCAGAAACCCACCCCTACATTTAAAAAGAATCCACACCATACATACACATGAACATTGAGTATTCTCAAGAGAAACACTTTAGTTCATCAAAGGACATAAATTTACAGAGATAAACATTTCAAATAACTGTTTCTCATTCACCCCGGAAGGGCATAAATTTTAACCATAGCATGAAGGAGGCTTTGTGAACTCATTTTTTCTCATGACCTTCCCTTCACCCTTGTCTAGAGTAGGGAGGGGAGGCACCTGCTTTCTGTCCCCCTAAACAGCATAGTGAATGGTACAGGATTTCTCTATCATTACTCATATTCAAACAAACATTTTATCACACAAAATAGGCAAATGAAAAACTTTGATTCCATACAGGACCTCCCCCCCCCCAAAAAAAAAAATACTGTAATGCTTCATTCAAAACCATCCTTAATACAAAAATTGATAAACAAGAGCACTGATGTCAGGCTGAAATAATAATTCGAGCTAACTACTGCAGCACCACCCGGCAATGCACTGTTTGTGATACAGAATTCATGCTCTTTTAAGAACTAAATTTTGAATTATTTGGGGTAAAGATAAAATGATGTGCCTCTTCAAGTCATCTATGTTAGAAATCCATATGAGATAGAGAGGACCATAGGGGAATATGCCCTCCGTCTCCCCTCCTCTCTCCGTATTCATCCCACCATCCATGTGTCTCAAGTCAAGCCTGTCTCATCGAGCCCCTTGTGCCCACCCGCTGATCCTCCTCCCCCTTTGGGCATTGATGGCCTTCCCGCCTACACCTTTCGCCGTATTGTGGATGCTCGTCCCCGTGGGTGTGGGTGGCAATACCTCGTCAATTGGGAGGATTACAGTCCTGAGGATAGTTCCTGGGTCCCTGGATCATTTATTTTGGACCCCTCCCTCATTAGGGACTTCCGTCTCTCTCAGCCCTCCGGTTCTTCTGGACCACCGGGTGGCGGTCGTTGAGGGCGGGGTACTGTTAGGAATCCAGTTTGTGTGGGTTGTGTTTTGTTTGTTTTCCCTCCACCACCAGGTGGCGCGTGGTTCTCATTGGCCTTCTCACACACCTGTGGATGGATGTCTCATTACCGGAGGACTCTTAAGCTGCTGACTGCCACTACCTCGACCCCAGGATTTTGGGTACTCTAGCCAAGCTGAGTTTGGCTTAGTCAAATTTAATTTTTTGTCACCTGAGTCTTAAACTTGTTGTTTTTTGTCTTTGCCTCT